AAAACTGTCAGAGTCTTTACCTCTGGGCTTCAGCTTGACACTACTTTTTGGGACCTCCTGTATGTAGATATACAGCGTAAGATCAAACATCAATGTAATCTAGATGCAAGCTTTGATGAAGAGAGCGTATCTTCACCTTAAAGGCCGGCAAAGCACCTGTAACGCCCCTGGGACTGCGGGTGCCTATGGGCGACGGTAATCACTTACCATCAGGTGATACGTCTGCTCGTTTGCGTCCTGTCACATAAAAAATAAAAAATAAATTCCAGGTTTCACGTAGTGTTGACCGTCTCGACGCCAACGCCATATACCATGCTTGGGAGCGTGAGTCGGAGTACGGTCGGTGGCTGTGGGTGTACGAATTTATATCTAGAGGAAAAACTGTGTTTTGCTTTGCCGTGGAATCTTTAATTGTTCCAAGAAGAAACCCAAATGAAACTTAGACAAACTAAAAATGAAAAGATCGAAGAAGAGAGGAAAAAATGTTTATTCAGTATCACACATACATAATTTACTGCTTGGCCTCCGATTTTCCAAAGATTTTTAAACGTCATTTCAGTGTTTTACAACTATAGTCCTGTNTATTAGGGCATGTAATATCGGAAGGTTTTCAATTCCGATATTGATTTCCGATATTAGATCTCAATATCGGAATTCCGATATTAATATCGGAATTGAGTTAGTGTTATAATAAATTGAATACTTGATTATTTTCGTAACATTTCTTGATTATATACAAGTAAAATAATGATTTTAATCAATATCTTTTATTTGGTACAAAACAGCACTTCTTAAAATTATAAAATTGAAGTATTTAAAACCATTTTTGTATGTTATGGGTATCCAATTCCATTGCATTTGGTTACTGATAATAGGCCAATATGGACTAGCAAGGAATTTAAGTGTTTTTTGTAAAACAGGTATCAAACAAACTTACTTCATCAACCAATACTGGCGGAACGATTTGTAGAGTCATTCAAGTCAAATGACACGTAAGTACAGGTTTGTTAGGACGGTTCCCGCAGAAGTACATCTGCTTGTTCTGGCTATTGGACAACTTGTAAATTATCTACCTACATAAAATTTGTTAATTTCTCATGTAAGTGACTGTAATGTTTTTAATGAGAAATAAATGTTCTTTAAACTTTAAACCTTTGGCGTGCCATTGAGCCGCGCAAAACTGCACCCCCCAACTGCTACGGTTTTCAAATGATGTTTCAAAATGACAAAGTAGTCTTGTCTTAGATCTGAGACATAGCAGTTGACAGAGGTTGCACAGATCTGAGACCAAGCATAGGAGAGGTTAAACCTAAACGTTACAAAAATTTTAGGTAGTGGTAAAAAAACTTGAATATTATGCTTGTAATTTATTCCTTTTTTATTATCGACTAGCTGACCCGGCGAACTTCGTACCGCCTTAGCGTAGAGATTTTCTTAATATTTTTTTCCGTAAGAACCATCCTTGGACTTCCACAAACATTTAAAAAAAAGAATTATCGAAATCGGTTCAGCCGTTCACACGTGATGCCGTGACAACGCGAAACGGGTTTCATTTTTATATATATATAGAATAGATGTACAACTCACAAAACCACGGGCCATCATCATCATCATCATCATCATTTCAGCCATAGGACGTCCACTGCTGAACATAGGCCTCCCCCAATAATTTTCACAATGGTTCGTTGGTAGCGGCCTGAGGTCGTCGGTCCACCTTGTGGATGGCAGTCCTACTCTGCGATCCAGAACCTTGCTGCCTCATCGGCCGTCAGTTTTGCATACTAGTGCGGAATCGCTGGAAGACCTCAGCACAATGCTCGAAGACCTTAATTGAATCTCCCAACAGGTAGGCCTTCGGATGAACATGGACAAAACAAAGCTTATGACCATGTTGTGCCCTACCTATTTTCGGTTGGGAGCTCGATTCTCGAGATTGTTGGCAAGTATGTCTACCTCGGACAAACGATTCAGCTGTTCAATTTCATAGATGATCATAGATGCAATTTCGAGAAAGAGGTAAATCGTCGAATCCTACTCGGCTGGGCCGCGGGAAACTACACAACATATTTTTGTCCAAAATACCTCAGTGCTGAAAGACGAAAGTCTTCAATCTAGCAAGCTGAAGTGGCAATGGGCAGGGCACATATAAGTAGGTACGCAGAACTAACGGGCCATAGTCCAATTAATGTTTGGAAGGGAGTTGAGATGTCGTTTTTCATTGCTAAGACCAAGTACGGCAAGTGTTAAAATTGTTTTAGAACAAGTAAAATTAACCATAAATAAATAACAAATAAAAATAAATAAATAAATAAAATCTTTAATGAATAACTTATTTGACAGTTTAAACTCTAGGCTAATCTTATGCTACAAAACGTAAAATTATGCGTGTGCCTGAACTAGGAAGTTTTTTTCCTGTATCTCAGGCGAAATAAAGGCTTAACGATACTTTATTTAACTATCATTAGCAGAAAATATTTGCAGTGGGACAAAAAGTGATTCACCATCACTTTTTGTGATGACATGATAAAATCATTGGTCTTTGTCAATCATGTACTTTGGGCTTTGTGGCAGGTTGTGGCGCGTTTAAACGCTATGTTTAAAATCTCAATTAAAACCTTTATCTGATTCCGATATTACGATATTGGGTCGCTCAATATCGGAATTGTAATAACGGATCTCCTGCTCCGAGATTCCGATATTACGAGATTCCGAGATTCCGATATTCATGCCCTAAATGGTATGCATTTTCCGGATAAAAAAAGAATAGTAAACAGGAAAAGTTTGTTTTGAATAGAACCGATTTGAAAAAATCTCTCACCATTAAAATTCATTTTTTTTTCTGCTGAACATAGGCTGTATAAAATATTCTCAAAATAGTAAAAAACCTTTGATAATATACTATTTGATAAAGAATTTACGTATTTATTATTGATTAGGACTAATGTATACCATTATTTATAATTATAGAGTCGGTGTTGGAAGATTNTGTTTAAACGTCATTTCAGTGTTTTACAACTATAGTCCTGTTAGCCCCTCATACTGTCACAAGTTAGCTCACTTCAGCGGATTTCGAACCCGCGTTCCTCCGATGACAAGTCGGCTAGTCCGACCCCTTCACCGGTGTATGTAATGTATCCTTTAAATAAATTATTTTTATTTGAATAACTCTAGTTTTATTTTACTTCCTTCATTAGGGGAAGATGATAATGAGGTTGCTAAAGCAATTAAAGGGCTAATAACTGTGCTAATCCTTTTTTTATACTTCTTTTAGTTATATTAGCAATTTGTAGTAGGTAGGTATACCAAACTATGTAGGTATTTTCATTTATAATAATATTTACTTAGTGGAATTACTGCTTTCGAAACGTGAATTAGAACTGGCCCCAGGGCTGATGTTTTCCTACATCGAAACTTTTTATACATAAATAATACTTAAGATAATTAATAATTATAATTAATAATGATAATTAATATAATTGTTCATAATATTAAAATATTTATTGCCAAAATAAAACAAGATACAAGATACATATCTATTTGGTGACGTCACGACACTGTCTTTTGGTTTGCTGGCACCACTACAGTGTCCAAGACCAAGCAGCACACAGATTTTGAGTTCGAAGTAAGTTCCAATATGGTCATCCATCGCCCGTACTCCGTGTCCATTCCCCACAGATGCATTACCCTGTTATAGTCGAAGCGATCCATTGTGAACGTGCCCTAAAAGTTAAAAATCAACATAGGTATCACCACTGAATAATAATAAGTACCTACTACGTGCAGAAGTTTTACTTCGCGAAGGTATTTAAAAAAATGTATGCTCAATGTCATTAACAATATGGTGCCTAATTTGGCCTGTCTCAAGAGTCAAGCACCATTTTTTTGACAAACGTCAGTGATCGGCACTGCACCGAAGCTATAGGGCTGACTTCGGTAAAATGATGTGACGTGAGGTGCCAAACTGCGGAAAATGGCGGAGGAAATACATGATTTAGCATGAATTATCATAAATAATATTAATACTTATTTACCTCTCAGTGTCTTGAGGCAACTTAAAAAAGTACATTCTGTGTTTTTATTATTATTTAGGCAGTTAAATACCGCACAGTATTTAGTACACCATTTTCTTTATTTTCTTCCATGATACACAAGAATACGCGTGCGTGATTCAATGTTCGCTCGTATGTGAGGCCTTGTCGAATAGTATCCTGTAGGTGGGCCATCGTGCGTATTTTGTTTTCGATGTAAACTCGCGGAGATGAACAGGCCTGATATCACTGACAAATAAAAACGGATTAATTTCGTTGGCGGTCCAATGACAATTTAACTTTTCCTCGGGACAAACTTGACCTTCACTGGTTGGGATCTATTGGCGGTCAAGCTGAGATCCTGGCTGCACAGGAGTTGCAGCGGTGGGAACGACAGGTGGGAATAGGGGACCACCCACCCACGACGAATTTAATCAGAATAGCATAGGATTAGTCCGAAATTAAGGATCGACTTCGCTCCAGTACAAAGCGGATTACAGGTGACAAACATATATTACTTTAACTTTGACAAACGTCAAAAATCTGTCAATATCCATACAAAAAGCACCAGTTATTGTTATAGTTACAGTCAAAATTAGGGGGTGCAACTCAGCCTAAGTAATTTTTAAGAAAAGACGTATTAGCAAGCTGAAGTGGCAATGGGCAGAGCTGAGGGCACATAGTACGCAGAACTGACGGTCTATGGGTCAGCAAGGTTCTGGAGCGGAGGCAACGTACCGGAAAGCGCAGCGTAGGTCGTCGGTCCACCTTGTGGGTGGTAGCATAAAGCACCATAAAAGTAGCAGGAAAACGCTGGATGCAGGCCACTGTCAACCGGTCATCATGGAAGTCATTGGGGGAGGCCTATGTTCAGCAGTTGGCGTCCTATGGCTGAAATGATGATGATGATAATGAACGCTACTGCTTGCTGCTAGCCACTGAGAAGAGCCAATAAATGTGGTAATGTCATACCTTCGCCACAGTGCATTTCTCGTCTACGTCCATGTTTAAAGCCTTGAGGACCATATAGATTAATTTTCTGTCACAGCTCCAACCTGGTATGAAGAGGCGCAGTCTCCACTGATCGTTTTCCCAAAAGTAGTAACGCATCCTCAACTATTAAGAAAGTAATTAGAATAATTAATTACACACATGTTTTGTGCTGTGGTAACTCATATAAAAAAACTAGTGGCCACCCGCGACTTCGTACGCGTGAATCCCGTTTAACCCCCTTAGGGGTTGAATTTTGCAAAATCCCGTCTTAGTGAGCACCTTCGTTCTAAAAGGGATCCCCATGTAAAATTTGAGACTCGTAGCACTTGTAGTTTCTGAGGTTTCGTGATGAGTAGTCAGTCAGTGACCTTTCGCTTTTATACAAGAAAGAAATGGAACGCGAAAGTTTAAAATCTTATACATACCTTGGCAGTTGGGACTGGTCTCATGAATGTATAGTTGGCACGGATGTACGTTTTCCCCGAAACATTGTAGATATTAGTTGTGAAGTTTAGGACTTGGCCTATACTACTGTGGGGGTTGAGCACCTCCTTGTAAGTGCACGTGCGGACTTTCAATGGTATGTAGCGGTAAGAACCCTTTAAACAAAAAATTAAAGTAAGACCTAAGAAAGGAAAACCAAAGTGACCGACATACCTAGCTCGCAAAGTTAAAATCAAGTGGCAGTGGGCGGGGCACATAGCTCGTAGAGACGATGGCCGTTGGGGCAGAAAAGTTCTCGAGTGGCGACCACGGGCTGGAAGACGTAGCGTGGGCAGGCCTCCTACTAGGAGACCGACGATCTGGTGAAGGTTGAGGTTGAGGCAAGAAACTAGATACGGGTAGCGTAGGACCGGTCGTTATGGAAAGCCTTGGGGGAGGCCTTTGTTTAGCAATGGACGTCATTTGACTGAAACGAACGAAGACCTAAGAAATTATTATTTGAAAAATCTGCAACAAGTTTCAAACTTAATTATAAATAACTTGAAAAATTGAACAGCCTAAGGCGGGAATCGAAGCCACGACCTTTCGCTTGCCGGGCGACTGCTCTTCCATCTGAGACACACTGGATAAACCCTTCGAAATTTTCAAGTGCAATACGCTGTTACGGCCAGCGTTTGCAACAAGTTGCATATAAATTAATAACAATAGTGAGCCACAAATTATAAAGCCGTCATTAGCCGTCCGTTGCTGGACATAGGCCTCCCACAAAACACGTCATTTTACTCTGTTTTCGGCTTGTCGCATCCAGAGTCTGGCAGTGACTTCTTCGCCTAGCTGGAGAGCATCTTCAAGTCAATGGTCAATCTTCGGATTTATTACATCCAGGATTCCAAGCATATCCAGCTAATTCCAGCTACCTTGTTTCATTTACATTTCTAAGTATACTACTTCTACTGAGACGTGGTTACCACGCCGTTTACTTCTATTAGTAAAGCCTGGTCCGTGAGCACGTAGAATTTTGTCCAATGACCCCAAGCTGCCCATCCTTATCGCTCGCGCGTAATTATGTTGCTAGTTGCTAGTGTTATACTATGAAATAGGGCTTACCGATAAACGCTCAGAAGTTGAAACAAAAAATAAAAATATTAAAAACAGCATCGAAATGTGTAAAACTAGATAGCGTCGCATTTTGCAAAATTAAATTCACCTTCTATAAAACTAAAGTCCAAGGCACACAATAACATAATTATGTTATTATTATTTTGTATAATAAATAGTTAAGTACCTATTATAATGAAATGCTATCATGTGTTATTATTAATACATTACTTAGTAAACCTATAATCATTTGGATCTAAAACAAGTCATTATGGGCTACCTTTTTTAAATTATTTTTGACGTTCATATTGGCCATAAATGAATAAATATTTTTGAATTTTAATTTTGATTAGATGAATCATCCCCATAGTTTTCGTAGCGTGGTGCGTATTTTCTAATTATCTTTCCCCCGAGACAAAAGTTAGGGGTTTTGGCGGATTTTTTTTCGACCGAGCTGTAAATCCTGGCTACACAGGAGTTGCAGCGTTAGAACGAGAGGGGGGAATAGTCCCATTTTAGTAACTAGTATAGAAATCGACCATTGCTCGTCGCAGTTCCTTACGGGACATGGCAACATTAAACATAAACTTCACGAATTCAAACTAGTTCCGTCTCCTTTTTGCGAGTGTTTCACTGATGATGTCAGTCATGAGCAGTCTGCCCATCATATCTTGTGGGAGTGTGATCTTTGGAAACATGAACGTGATATAATGCTTAATTCAATACAACATACATTTTGTTTCCGCAATTTATTACACCGATCTTGTCGCGACAAGGAAAAATTTCCGTGCTTTTAAGCGATTTTGTGAAAAATATTATTGGCAGGTAGTTGCTAATTGCTCATAAGATAGGCCCCCTTAATTTAATTTATTTTCCGTGGTGCATAATCTTTTCTTAAAGGTTTTAAACCTTTGTTTGTCACCTGGTATCCGCTTTGCAATGGAGGGAAGTCGAACCTTAATTTCGAACTCCTCCTATGTTCTTCTGATTAATTTCGTTGCGGGTCCAATGACAGTCTAACTTTCCCCCGGGACAAACTTGACCTTCATTGGTTGGGTTTTTGTGGCGGTCAAGCTGTAGATCCTGGCTACACAGGAGTTGCAACGTTTGGTGGGAACGAGAGGTGGGAATAGTCCCGTTAACTAGTATAAAAAGTCAGTAGCGTCATAAGGAGGGGGCGCTGGGGGCGGTCCACCCCGGATGCCAAGCATCAGGGGGTGACAATAGTCGCGCAGATTAGTACTCACTGGCGCATCTGCATGATAAGGACTATCACGATATGTCATGATGGATGGATGGGGGGGGGGGGGTGCGATTGGTATCATATAGCTAATTCTGGGGGGCACCAGACCATTCCGGGGTGCGTGTTAACCCATGCTACGCCGGCACTGTAAAAAGTGGCAGTGTATTCTGTATCAAATACTTAATGCAGGCTTAATAGTCCATTGTCGAAATGATTGTGCTAACATGACATTGGATCGAGGATACTTCGCAACAAAATTACCTCCTTAACTGTAAGCCGAGAAGCTGCTTGCAACTGTTATCTGGGACTTAGGGATGTCCATCGACTAGATATCGATAAAATTCGGATATTGTTCTTATCCTCACATCACTAAAAAGAACTGACAGAATAAAATTAATTTTTTTTTGATGATCTTCAAACAGCTCAACAGATCGTTCGTTCGTTTTCTTAAATTATCTTAATCACATCAGCTTTCAAACAAAAAAGTACTAAAACATCACTATACTATTCGATCCACATACACAAACTTAAAATGGGCTTAAACCCAATTAAAAGGGTTAAAAGTGGCTCATCACATCAAACGTCAAAGGTCGACTTTCGTTTTCGTTCCAATTTTATTTAAATACGAGTAAGCAGAAAACCAGCCAGGTTTATTTTTAAATAAAGTTTAACATTGAACATGTTGATGTTTTGTTTTTCGTAAAATCCCGCGGCATTTATCCAAAAGTTGAATGTAAGCGCTCGCTCCTGCCAGCTGACAAACTGTCGGGAAGTAGCCGCGTGCAAAAATTAATTTAATTCCCACCCAAAAGTTGACAAGCCCTGATAAAATGCGACAGGCAGCTACTATAAAATTCAGAACGTGCTGTTGCGATGCGAGTATTTAATTTTTTAAATCGTTGAAAGTGCCATTTCAGCCTACTAGTAAGCAGCGTTCGTTTGAGATTCGATACAGTCCTGGCCAAAAACACTGTAAAAAGTGGCAGTGTATTCTGTATCAAATACTTAATGCAGGCTTAATAGTCCATTGTCGAAATGATTGTGCTAACATGACATTGGATCGAGGATACTTCGCAACAAAATTACCTCCTTAACTGTAAGCCGAGAAGCTGCTTGCAACTGTTATCTGGGACTTAGGGATGTCCATCGACTAGATATCGATAAAATTCGGATATTGTTCTTATCCTCACATCACTAAAAAGAACTGACAGAATAAAATTAATTTTTTTTTGATGATCTTCAAACAGCTCAACAGATCGTTCGTTCGTTTTCTTAAATTATCTTAATCACATCAGCTTTCAAACAAAAAAGTACTAAAACATCACTATACTATTCGATCCACATACACAAACAAATAAGTCTACCTTAAAATGGGCTTAAACCCAATTAAAAGGGTTAAAAGTGGCTCATCAGATCAAACGTCAAAGGTCGACTTTCGTTTTCGTTCCAATTTTATTTAAATACGAGTAAGCAGAAAACCAGCCAGGTTTATTTTTAAATAAAGTTTAACATTGAACATGTTGATGTTTTGTTTTTCGTAAAATCCGGCGGCATTTATCCAAAAGTTGAATGTAAGCGCTCGCTCCTGCCAGCTGACAAACTGTCGGGAAGTAGCCGCGTGCAAAAATTAATTTAATTCCCACCCAAAAGTTGACAAGCCCTGATAAAATGCGACAGGCAGCTACTATAAAATTCAGAACGTGCTGTTGCGATGCGTGTATTTAATTTTTTAAATCGTTGAAAGTGCCATTTCAGCCTACTAGTAAGCAGCGTTCGTTTGAGATTCGATACAGTCCTGGCCAAAAAATTGGTATTTTTTTAAATAAATATGTATGTAAATAGTATGATAACAGTAGACTCATATCGAGATTAAACATGTCGCAGTATACTCCTATCAAAATTAGGCTTAAGTAATGAAATCTGTTCTATTCGGCTTTATTAGAAATACTGCCAGTTGCACGTGACAGTTTCATACAATCTAGCTCGCAAAAAGGTCATCTATAGTAATTGATTGCCCCGTGTTATTTATTACGATTTACGAAACCTATCTGTTATGATTGGCAAGTCCAAAACATGTTCATGTATAGGTATTTATTTTTTGCGGCCCCATTTGTACCTACAAATAATATCAACACAGAATACTCAAGAGTATCGTTATCGATAATATGAAAACGACCCTTTACCCCACCCCTAGCAGGACGCCTGTAATCTTCATCGACGTTCTAAGACAGATGGAAAGCGCCTGATC